AGGCTGAGGCAGAAGGATTGCTTGAGCCCAGGAGTTTGAGGTTGCTGTGAGCTAGGCTGATGCCATGGCACTCTAGCCCGGGTAACACAGTGAGACTCTGTCTCAAAAAAAAAAAAAAAAAATAATGAATTACAGACTTATCTTCCCAGGTATAAAAGAGAGATAAGATAGGATCAGACATTCTTCCACCTACCCAGGAACATCTACATAATTCATGCTTCCTTCTCTCCCTTTTCTCTTCTAACAGTTGCCTGGTCTTATGTAAAATATAGATTTTCCTGGGTCTCACAAGAATATAACCATTTTGTCTCCCTACCCCCACCCCCTGCCTTTTTTTTTCCTTTCTGTATGCCCTACTCTCCTTAAATATTGAAAATTTTAAATTCTCCCCCTTCGGAAAAACAGCCACAAGTTTGTCTGTGGTTTGTGTTTTTCCAGGTATATCCTCAACTTTGGCTTAATAAACCTCCATTGACTGAGATTTTTGCCTCAGTCACTTACTTTGGGTCGACACTCAGATCCGTGTTCCATGCCCAGGTGCCCAGCCTTCTGCCTCTCCAGAGATCGCTCCATTCTGTGCCATCCACGAACTTGCTTTCTTGTCCCTTGGTTTTCCAATCCCTGCCTCCAGCCAAGCTCCTAAGAGTTGCCCTTTCTCACCTCCCATCACCTGCCTTTGGCCTCTCTGCTCTGCTGCCCCCACCCCCAGGTCCTCTAAGGGCCCCTCACCTGGCCTGTCCTCCCACATGTGGGCAGATCCTGTGGGTCAGGCATGCAAAGCCTAGAAACGGACATTTTCATGAGTTTCCTGGGGAAAGTGGCCCTTCCAAGGCAGAAACCAAACTCATGTGCCAAATGTGAGCATCTTAACAAGATTGAGGGACCCAAATCCATGCAAGGACACATAATGTGAGGACCCAGACCTGTGGGACCAGCTCAGCAAGACAATAATGCCAGGCCATAGGCACAGGTTGGAGGGGCTGGGGGCGGCCAAGGGCCAGCAGGGTGCAGCTGTCCTCTCGGACAGCCTTTCTTATCAGGCCCTACCCAGTCCCTCTTCCACTCAGCAGGTGCCTTTCCCTCCTCCTCTGGTTCTTGCTGGGCTTAGCCAGTAGAAGGCAGAGGCTAGAGGTCAGAGGGTGGGAGGAGAGTGCATGTGTGGGGTTGTTTGTTCCCTGTGCCTCACCTGAAGCTCCTGGGGGTAATCAAATACCTCCACTCCCCTCCCCACGCCCTGTTCCCCCTCACCAACCCGTAGGAGACCAGTAGGGGGCTGAGGGTGGTCCCTCAGGTTGCAGTAACCCTTTCTTGCCTTGCCTCAGCAGGCCGAGGAATGAAAAGGGCTTCCACTGAGGCTAGGCCCAGGTGCTGCTCTAAGCCTAAGTGGCTCCCTGAACCTACCCACAGCTCTGTAAACAGCACTTTTGTTACAAAACTCTCTTCAAATATCCAGCTTGATAACAACGACTGGTGTTTGCTGCAACCTTGGTTACAGGTTGTAGGTGGGAATTCTGCATGGGGCTAGTGGGCCAGAGCAACACCCAGTGATGCTTGGAAAGCCAATGCCCAACATGGGGGACAGGGTGTGGGTGACTGGGTGTATGTGACCTGGTGTGGATGTGGCCCATCAGCCCAGGACTGACCCACGGGGCCAGGAGTGGCGAGTACTAAAGTAGAGCGTTGCTCAAGGGCCCGTGCCATCACTCTTCATCCAGCATCTGGGCCCCGCTCCTCCATGTCAGAAGGCAGGCAGGCCACATCCTCGCTTTTCCAGCTTCGTTTGCCCCAGGGCAAGGGCTTTTGCCCCAGGCTCAGCCAATCAGACGTTCCCTCCCTGGAGTCTGATGGGGGTGCTAGCAACCAGCTTTGGTGGGGGAAAACAGCAGCTGTAATAGCAGCATGCAGTATCTGGGCCTATGATGAGGTCTCTGTAAGTTACAGCGTCCCCTGCTTGCTCCGGGTGGCAGCCGCAGTGGCATGTTCACCAGGCCAAAGTAGAACTGTGATTTGGGCTGGAGAAGACAGTGCTTGGACTTCAAGCCTTGCCCCGCTGGCACCCTTGGTGGCTCTGAGAGCTACACAGCTCCTTTTCATTAATTGGGTTTCTGGTGAAGTTGAGCAGAGTCAGTTTTCTCCAACTGATAGAGACATTCTCACCAACAATGGTAGGAGGTGCCCAGGGAAATGGGGGTGTGTCCAGACTGGTCATCTGCCTGTTTGGATCTAAATGCAATGGAAATCCAGCCCCAGTGAAGGGAAGGGCTCTGGCAATCCATGGCAGGTAGAGGAGACAGAGTCCCTCCTTCCTGATACAAAGCTCCTAAAACCCTTGGAATTTACTGTTTGTCTTATGTGAATGAGATGACTCAGGGCTGGAACTTTCAGCCCCATCCTCCAACCTCTGGGGAGTGGAGGGAGGCTAGAGATTTGAATTCAATCACCAATAGCCAATGATTTAGACAATCATGCCTTTGTAATGGAACCTCCATAAAAACCCTTAAACAATGGGGCTCCAGGAGCTTCTAGGCTGGTGAACACATTGGGAAGGCAGTGTGCTCAGAGAGGGCTTGGAAGCCCTGCGCCTCTCTCCCATACCTTGCCCTATGCATCTCTTCCATTTGGCTTGTCAAAAGACAAAACTACAACAAATTTAGCTATAGATCTAATTGGCTTTTATTCGAGATTCATGGATGGGGATAACTTTCATTCTACAAACTAGAATGAGAGCTCCCACTGGGCAATAGCAGAACAGTGTGTTTTGTAAGATGAGAACCAGGAAACAGAATAGGGCCGGGTGGGGTGACTCTCACCTGTAATCCTAGCACTTTGGGAAGCT